TCACAGCCAGAGAACGTGGGAAGCTGCCAGGGGTGTCAGCATTGGCCAAGAGTTGTCTGATGGAGGAGGCCGTGTACAGGGCCCCTCTGAGCTCAAGAGACCCGTGTTCACAGTGAGAGAGGAACTTACTCCGACATGCGCCTTACCATGTCGGGTATACACGCCGCACAATACCAACATTCCGTTTAGATTACGAGCGAATACATCAGTGTCATCGGTCAAGGGTATCTTAAGATGGTATCGGTCTCGTCTCAACAATACCCGCGGTACCTTTTATTGTGCATGAAGCGGCTGTTCTCCATATTACCAATACCCCGGGCGCTCCAAGCCAAGCCGTCGACACCTCTCCTCCTTGCCCCTAGATTTACTCACTTTCTCCTGGCCTTATCGTCGTGTTCACACAGCCGTCTAGCGTTACCAGCGGTGTTTGCCGATCACTGGATGACTCGCGCACTTCTTTGTACACCGCTGCCGAGGATGTCCCTGGACTATATATATTTTCTTTTCGAGTTGTGTTACTGATGGTGGTGTGCAGGACCCGCCCGAGAGTCTCGGCTCACCCTAGGATTTAATGAGAAGGTCCTGGAGGTGACCCGGGCTTGGCGTGGGTCCTGGAGGTTACCAGGACTTATCGTAGAAGTGACCCGGTCTTGGTGTAGGTACCGTAAGTGTCCGTGCTATTTATTATCACTTCTTTCTTCCTTATCTCTCCACACTATTTATTATCAGTTGTCTTCTTTACCTCTGTCTTCGTTCTGACTGTAGGTAATAATGCGTAACGTCTGGTTGATAACTCTAGTGTGTGATTATTGTTATATTTCTTTGTCTCTTTTATTTCCAGTTTCCTCTCTCTTACCTTCGTTATTTTGTTTCTTATCTGTTCGTTTCGATATTCGCTGTTTCTTAAATTCCTCGTTAATTCTGAGGTTAACGAAACATTCTCCAATTCTGGTTGTTAATATTTCTCTTTATTGTATAATATTGCTTCCACATTATTCCTCTTACGATTCTCTCAATGCTCCTTAAAATCTTTACTAGGGGTAAAGGTCACTGTGTAGGGGTATTGACACACACACACACACACACACACACACACACACACACGGAAACTCCAGCTTGCCACTCGGCCCTCTCCTATGTTGAAAGATTCGAGGCTCCTCAATAAAGTGGGTGGGGTCAAATTTGGGCAGTGGGGTTGTAATTGGGGTCACTGGTTGTGGGAGGTCAGATAGAGAGTGTCCTTCTATGGGTGCCAGGAGGAGGGAGGGGTAGTGGTTGGAGGTTGTGGTGGCAATGGTAGTTGTTAACGCTCATAGGAGCGTTATTGGTTTGTTGCTGGAGAAATAAACCCACAACGTTGATGCGTAACATATAAATCGGTCAAAACCTGTCAAAGAACAATTCTCATATAACAAATGCTGTTATCTCAGGACACATAGAATGAATAATACAATCAATATACAGTACATAGCCTGTTAACATCTTAAATATAACTCACATGTTATAACTGTTGATACAGGAGACAATTTGTATAATATGGTCAAATTACAATACATAAATATACTTATTAAAGTTATTTAGAGTTTCTTAGCAGATTCTAATACTTCACGATCACTCACGTTTTAGGGTCTAGTGGTCTGAACCAACGTGTTGTCTGTCCTGTAGAAATCGGTAGACTACCCTCGAGGGCAATCGCAGCCCGGGGGCGAGGACCATCTGTTTCGTATTGAAACACCTCAGCAGATTCGTCAGCAAATTCGTTGTCAACACTATATCTCTTATCTCACCCTCTCTCTCTCTCGCCTAGTTTATCTTATTGTGGTTATCCCTCTCTTTCTCTCTCTCTTCTAGTTTATCTTACTGTGGCGGTAACAGTAGTGGTTGGAGGTTGTGATGATAGTGGTACTGGTGGTGGTGATTGAAGGTTGTGGTGATAGTGGTACTGGTGGTTGGAGGGTGTGGTGATAATGGTAGTGGTGGTGGTCGGAAGTTGGGATGACAATGGTGGTGGTTGGAGGTTGTGATAGTGGTACTGGTGGTGGTGATTGAAGGTTGTGGTGATAGTGGTACTGGTGGTGGTGGTTGGAGGGTGTGGTGATAATGGTAGTGGTGGTGGTTGGAAGTTGGGATGACAATGGTGGTGGTTGGAGGTGGTGGTAGTGGGGGTGGTGGTTGAAGGTTGTGGTGATAGTGGTGGTTATTGGAGGTTATAGTGATAGTGGTGGTTATTGGAGGTTGTGGTAATAGTGGTGGCGGTTGAAGGTCGTGGTGATAGTGGTACTGGTGGCAGGGTGTATCTTTGCTTTGCTGATTAGTTAACAACACTAACACGAACGACACACACACACCGTAAAACAAGTTATCGTTATCAGCTAATGTAAACGAGAAGGTTAACGAGGATGGTCACTAAGAGCTTCAGCTGTACAGTACTGCGTTAAACGACACACTTTAACATATGTGAACCGTGGAGAGATATACAGTGTACCCTCACTAACTCTGTCTACCTGTCCTGTGTATTTTCAATTAATTCCAGGTATATTTACATGTTAGAATATGTATTGTTATTTATTAATTTTACTTATATACAGATTTCTTTTAATTACACAGATGTATCATAATATAGTTTTTACTAATTGATTTATTTTCCAGCTTGGATATATTTTATATTCTAAAATTAAACTTCTGAAAACATCTTTTTTTTTTAAAGATAAGTTACCCCAAAATGCAAAAGCAAATATTTTTAAACAAACAAAAGCCCCCTCCCACCCCCCACCCCCCTAAATAAAAGAAACAGGTCGTAAAGAAATAAAACAACCTTAGATAATAAAACACTGGTTCCCTCACACTTACGCTCAGTAAAAATATTCATCGTTCACCAATAAACTTTTACGACTGGCTAATCAGATCAGGTTATGATTGGACGGTGAAGACTAGAGCTCTTTATTTACACGACACCTGTTTTCTTCTCGACTCCGTTTTCTGTGGATAAACACGAGTATTCGGACCCGAGGCCAGAACCGAACCAGAATGTACGTATAGATGACCTTATCAATCTTTTCCTAACCTAACCTAACCTAACCTAACATAACCTGATTGAGAGAGAGAAAGGGGGAGAGAGAGGAAGTAAGTGTGTGTGTGTGTCGTGGGAAGTTTGAACCCATGAACCGAACCCTTAAGCTTCAAATAGATGAACCCAGTGGAGCTCGGTCATGGGTATTTGGTGTAGCGTGGCAGGTGTGGGCGATAATTCTCTCTCTCTCTCTCTCTCTCTCTCTCTCTCTCTCTCTCTTCTCTTCTCTGATAAGTGATTACCGATCGAGGCATCACGAATGTAAATAAACTTAAGCGTTGAGATCGGGTATAGACTCTCGCCACCTGAATATTCCTGATGAGGTCGTGGCAGGTAGGGACCCCGGCCGTACAGGTGTGCTGGATACCTGCCTGCTCACCTGGCGTTTAGATAATCAGAGGTGCGTAAGATGAATATTCTTCTTAACTTTAAGTATAATGGATGTTCCTAACTTGTTAATTTAAGTTAGAACGGAAAGATTAACTCCCAAAGATAGTATCAAGATTATATGCCGAGGCTCGACCTTAATTATATACCGGGACTCAAGCTTAGTTATATACCGAGACTCAAGCTTAGTTATATACCGAGACTCGACCTTAATTATATACCGAGATTCGACCTTAATTATATACCGAGATTCGACCTTAATTATATACCGAGACTCGATGTATAAGGTATCTATACGGTAGATTTAGTATAAATACGATGCTATTTAGTATATATTTAGTCTTAACCATTTAGGTAAATCGTTACATTTTGACTTACGAGAAATACTTAGGGAATCCCGACCCTCATGGTGAGTCTTGACGTAATATTCTTGAGATGTTGAAATGAGTCTTACTGCATTTCATCCTCTAATTACGCTGGATAATTGCAGGTGTTGGGGTCATTAGCATCTACCAGGTGTAATAGAGGAAATTGTTGTTCAATAATGTTGTTGTGTAAGATAGTGGTCTTGGTATTGAGGCGTAATTACCTGTGATTTATTGGTATCATTAGTCAGTGTGTTAGGGCAGGTAATGATGAACCACCCGCCGTACTCACCTCGCCTCACACCTCGCCTGGCCTCACACCCCCACCTAGCCTCATACCTCGCCTGGCCTCACCTCACCTGGCCTCACACACCCCCACCTAGCCTCACACCCCCACCTAGCCTCACACCCCACCTAGCCTCACCTCGCCTGGTCTCACACACCTCGCCTACAGTCTCCACACCTCACAGCCTCACACACCTCACGTAGCCTCACACCTCACACGTAGCCCCTCATCTTCACCACAGCCTCACACCCCACCTGGCCTCGCACACCCCTGGCCTCGCACCCCACCTGGCCTCGCACCCCACCTGGCCTCGCACCCCACCTGGCCTCGCACCCCACCTGGCCTCACCCCTGGCCTCGCACCCCACCTGGCCTCGCACCCCACCTGGCCTCACCCCACCTGGCCTCACACCCCACCTGGCCTCACACCCCACCTGGCCTCACACCCCTGGCCTCACCTGCAAGCTCACACCCCACCTGGCCTCACACCCCACCTGGCCTCACACCCCACCAGCCTCCACACCCCACCTGGCCTCACACCCCACCTGGCCTCACACCCCACCTGGCCTCACACCCCACCTGGCCTCCTTCCACCTAGCCTCACACCTGGTCATGCACTCACCTGGCCTCACACCCCACCTTGATGATGATATTTACACATTGCTGATGTTAATTGATTTGGGTAAGAAAGTATTTTTGATCGGGATATCATACAGAAGTGCTGGTTTCTCTCTCTCTCTCTCTCTCTCTCTCTCTCTCTCTCTCTCAGTATCGAGTAATGTCATGAATTATTGTTATTAATATAATTATCATCCTATTAGCATTATTGTTGTTAATATCTAAGTATCATCATGACCACAACACGCAGTAACAGTTCACACGTCTTGTTACAGCCCAGCGTGTACAGTGACGGGTCAAGGTTCCAGGAGGTAGGGACGGGTCCTATCTACCGCCTTGAGATACCCAACTGCCGAGTGGAGGACACGGGCGCCTACAGCATCCTCGCCAAGAACGACCATGGCGAGACGAGAGCCATCATCTCCCTACAGGTCTACGCCAAAGGTATCTTGATATCCTGAGCTTTGTGGGTCGTGTTGTGGTGGGTCAGTTCTAGAGGAATGTTGATGTGTGATTGTGTGTTATTCAGATACCTAAATGCTTATAGCTTGAAGTGTAATAGATAACTGCCTCTCCTATCTGTTTCTAAACACACACACACACACACACACACACACATCTACATGAGCTGTGAGAGGATAGAGGCGGTGTAAGAGACAAGCTGCTGCAGGAATTACCGTGTTAAGCCTGAGGGAGAGTATATGAAGCTGACTTTATAAAGCTTAAATCCCTCTTACTGTTGGGGTGGGGGGGTCAAGGTCATCATGGTGCAAAGGTCAGGGAACTCAAGGTGGATATTGTGGGTAGACTTGTAAGAGGAGTCCATGGAGGTGGATTGCCATTATGGATAGTGTGGCTTGTGGATAGTGAACTTACAAGAGGTGATGCTGTGTGGATAGTTCATGTGTTAAAGTGTGATACAACAGGTGTGGAGTGACACAGACCTTGGTACAGTGTGATGCAACAGGTGTGGAGTGACATAGACCTTGGTACAAGGTGATACAACAGTTGTGGAGTGACATAGACCCTGGTACAGGGTGATGCAACAGGTGTGGAGTGACATAGACCTTGGTACAGGGTGATACAACAGGTGTAAAGTGACACAGACCTTGGTACAGTGTGATGCAACAGGTGTGGAGTGACATTGACCTTGGTACAGGGTGATACAACAGGTGTAGAGTGACACAGACCTTGGTACAGTGTGATACAACAGGTGTGGAGTGGCACGGACCTTGGTACAGGGTGATACAACAGGTGTAGAGTGACACAGACCTTGGTACAGTGTGATGTAACAGGTGTGAGTGAAGGCATATGACACTTGGTACAGAGGTGATACAACAGGTGTAGGTAGCACAGACCTTGGTACAGGGTGACCACAACAGGTGTAGTGACACAGACCTTGGTACAGTGTGATGTAACAGGTGTGGAGTGACACTTAGACAGCAGTACAGGAGTGATACAACAGGTGTAGAGTGACACAGACCTTGGTACAGTGTGATACAACAGGTGTAGAGTGACACAGACCTTGGTACAGGGTGGTACAACAGGTGTAGTGACACAGACCTTGGTACAGGGTGGTACAACAGGTGTAGTGACACAGACCTTGGTACAGTGTGATACAACAGGTGTAGAGTGACACAGACCTTGGTACAGGGTGACAACAGGTGTAGTGACACAGACCTTGGTACAGTATACAACAGGTGTAGAGTGACACAGACCTTGGTACAGGGTGGTACAACAGGTGTAGTGACACAGACCTTGGTACAGGGTGGTACAACAGGTGTAGTGACACAGACCTTGGTACAGTGTGATACAACAGGTGTAGAGTGACACAGACCTTGGTACAGGGTGACACAACAGGTGTAGTGACACAGACCTTGGTACAGGGTGGTACAACAGGTGTAGTGACACAGACCTTGGTGCAGGTAGTACAACAGTGTAGTGGCAATACACCTTGGTACTGGGTGGTACAACAGGTGTAAAGTGACACAGACCTTGGTACAGGGTGATACAAAAGGTATAGAGTGACACAGACCTTGGTACAGGGTGATACAACAGGTGTAGAGTGGCACAGACCTTGGTACAGGGTGATACAACAGGTGTAGAGTGGCACAGACCTTGGTACAGGGTGATACAACAGGTGTAAAGTGACATAGACCTTGGTACAGGGTGATACAACAGGTGTAGAGTGACACAGACCTTGGTACAGGGTGATACAACAGGTGTAGTGGCGCAGACCTTGGTACAGGGTGATACAACAGGTGTAGAGTGACATAGACCTTTGGTACAGTGTGATACAACAGGTGTAGAGTGGCACAGACCTTGGTACAGGGTGATACAACAGGTGTAGAGTGACATAGACTTTGGTACAGTGTGATAGAACAGGTGTAGTGGCGCAGACCTTGGTACAGGGTGATACAACAGGTGTAGAGTGACATTTTTCAGACCATTCGAAAAATTTGTTTAGGTCTTCCTGTAGGTTTGCGGAGTCCTCGTCAGATTTAATAACACGTCCTATTTTAGTGTCAGAAGCAAATTTACTTATGTTGCTGTCTATGCCGATATCTATGTCGTTTATGTATATAATAAATAATAATGGTCCAAGTACTGAGCCTTGGGGAGCTCCACTAGTGACGTCGCTCCAATGGGACTTAGTGCCTTTTATGCTCACTCGCTGTTTCCTGTCCTGTAACCACGCCCTAATCAATTTAAGGATATTACCTTTGATGCCATGTGCTTCTACCTTTCTAAATAGTCTTTCGTGGGGGACTCTGTCGAATGCTTTGCTAAAGTCGAGATATACCACATCATAATTGTGCCCCTCGTCCACCGATTCGAAAACTGATGAAAAGAATGTTAATAGATTAGTTAGACATGAACGCCCGCTTGTGAAGCCATGTTGGGAATCATTGATCAACTTGTGCTTCTCCAGGTGGTTTGGAATAGAGTTTGAAATGATTGATTCAAGTAATTTGCCTACTATTGATGTTAGGCTGATTGGACGGTAGTTAGAGGATAGTGATCTATCCCCCCTTCTTGAAAATCGGTATTACATTCGCTATCCTCCAGGATTCTGGTACTACACCTGTTTTTAAGGACATGTTAAACAACTTTGCTAAGGGCATACTAAGCTCTTCCTTACATTCCTTTAATATTCTGGCAAATATCTCATCGGGACCAGGTGACTTATTATGTTTTAGTTTGTCTATTTGCTTACTAACATCGTTATTAGTCACTACTATCTCGCTTAATTTGTTTTCTTCACTATCTCTGAATAGAGTCGGTGCCTCGGGTATCATGTTTACATTTTCGGTGGTGAAAACTGTTGAAAAATATTTATTCAAATTTTTGCTCATTTCTCCGTCGTTGTCAGTGAGCTCGCCGGTATCTGACCATATTGGTCCAATCTTTTCTCGTGCTTTAGTTTGATACATTTGGTAGAATCCTTTGGGGTTTGTCTTCGCCTCGCTTGCTATCCTTACCTCATTATTCCTCTTGGCTTTCCATATCTCGGTTTTAACCCTTCTCGCCAATACCTTACAATAATCCTGGAGGTAAATTTCGCCATGACTTATTCTTCTACCTATAGCCTTTCTTTGGCCAATGATGTTCTTTAAATAATTATTTATCCATTTAGGGTCATTGTTGTCTGATCTGAGTTTTTTGTATGGTATGTTCTGCCTTTGTGCATTAAGTAACTCATTATTTAAATTTTCGTGGAACTCGGCTATCTCAGATCTCGTTATCAGGTCGGTGTCATCTGTCAGGTTCACGCCCAACCGTGACACCCCTTCTCTCAGCTGCCTTTTTAAACTGTCAAAGTTTGCCCTTCTGAAATCTGGTACTTTAGTGGAATTTTCCTTACATCTGCCCTGAAAATCTAACTGGAATCTAATTTCTTTGTGATCGCTGTTTGCAAGTTCGTTCCCTACCTCGACATTGCTAATGAGGTTTTCTCTGTTCGACAGAACTAAATCGAGTATATTTCTACCCCGGGTGGGTTCGGTTATATGTTGACTTAGGAAACAGTCCTGGATCGTTTCGAGAAAATCATCTGATTCTGAGTTACCCGTAAGGTCAGTCCAATCTATTTGGCCAAGGTTAAAGTCGCCTACTATACAGACTTTGTTGTGTATGGAAGCCCTGTGCATTTCATCCCAGATAAGTCTCTCATTGACTGTATCAAGATTGGGAGGTCTATATATTACTCCTGTGATTAATTTATCCCTACCATCGATTAATTCTATCCAAATTGTTTCTGTATTCCGCTTAGTTTTTATTTCCTAATTTATTTCACACTTCAGATTATCCCTGACATAGATTGCTACTCCGCCTCCTTTCCTGGTCTGCCTATCGGTATGGAACAATTTGTAACCCACAATTTGGTATTCGACAGGTAACTCACGTGAGTCTAGGTTGATCCATGTTTCAGTGAATGCTATTATATCGATTTTTTCGGTACATACCAAGGCCCTAATATCATCCATTTTGTTTCTCATACTTCTACTGTTCTCGTAGTAGACATTTAAGTTAGTCGTGTTCTGAGTCCTCCCTTTACCGCGTTTAGGTTTAAACTCCCTGTCTGCTTTAGTTTTGTCATCATTTCTAACACTATTTCCCTGTAATCTTTCACTTTGCTTACCCGCTTCCACTGCAGTCTCCTCCACCCCCGTGCCCTCATGTTCCCCTAGCAGTTTGAAGACTTCGATATCTTTTGAACTGCCCCCTCTAGAGACCCAGCCAGGGTTGCCACCCCCTCCCGAGACAGATGCACCCCATCCCTAGCATAAAGGTCCCTTCTGCCGTAGAAGTTGTACCAGTTGTCAATGAATGGGACTGATATTGACTTGCAATATCCGTCAAGACGGCCGTTGACACCAACTGCCCTTGACAACCATTCATTGCTAACTCTCCTTCTACGCAGGACACCACATATGATAGGGATCCCTCCCTTAGTCCTAATACGATCTATAGCTGTCTTGAACTTATCAAGAAGCTCCTCACTCCTACACCGGCCAATATCGTTGCCTCCTGCACCGAGGCAGATAATGGGTTTGTTCCCATTACCAGACAAGATATTGTCCATCCTGTCAACTATATCCCCCACCCCAGCTCCTGGCAAACACACCCTCATCCTATTTTTATTTTTACCACAAAAGGCTCTGTCCAAGTACCTTACCTGTGAGTCACCAACAATTAAAGTTTTTATACCTTCCTTGTCAGCCCTGTCCCTGACTGTACTAACGTCCATTTCGTCTATCAAGGGACTGAACGAGTTGGTACACTTAGCTGTTGTTGTCGTTGTTGTATCCTTGGTGTGTTTCTTGACCACCAGCTTGGTAGTCCAGGTGTAGAGTGACACTGACCTTGGTACAGGGTGATACAACAGGTGTAGAGTGACACAGACCTTGGTATAGGGTGATACAACAGGTGTAGTGTGGCAG